CCACATTCATGATGCGACTAATTCTCGAACACTCCAGGAGAAGATAAACAGAGCTAATGAAACATAAATTAATCATTGACTCGCTTGAAGATTTTGTTTTGTTCTCCACTAAACGAATCGAGGCTGGTAGCTGTTTGACGGTTAAATCAACAACGAGGTGTCATAAAAACGCATTTTCATGAGGAACAGAGCACCCATTATATGATCTGTGAAATGCCTCATTTAATGGATTTAACTGCAGCGTGCTGTAGGACCAATGTGCTTTAAGTGCTGAAGCCGTCTTATAGAGTTAGACATGATTAAAGGCTTTGATTTTTCCTCTTATTTACTTACTGTAGCACTTAACCAAGCATCGCTAATTTCATTTCACATGAGCCTCGGTTTGTTTGCATGGAGAAATGCAGATTCACAATCACTGTAGTCCAAAGAAAATGCGAGCTAGTGTTGCATCAAAGCTTGTACCGCACAGAGGACTATCACGTCTTAAATTGATTTTTCCATACATTTCTGCCATATGTACATTAATTGACAGTCACCACTGATAAGCTACCACTAAATATTGTAGAAACTTAATTTGCTGTAAAGTTGCTTTGCAATGATTTGTATCGTGAAAAGCGCTGTACAAATAAACTTGACTTGACTTGACATCCAACTCGTGTACGATATTGTTGTTAAAATATGGAAAGGAAGATGGTTTCCCACCTACAGGGAGCTGCAGCAGGGGATGATGGGTAAGTGTTCGTTTGTGTGCGAGAAACAGAATACCATCTCAATAGCAAGTTTTCAGCAATTTTCAGCTCTGTTAGACCATGTTTGCAGTGGTGTTCCCCTCTTGGCAATACAGTAGCTTGGAAGGAAAACAGCCTTTAAGATCAGCATTGCCTTCAGGAAGTCGACAGGACCACATTTATAAAGTACTACAAAGCGAGGTTGTGTACAAAGGAAGTAGAGTGCACCTCATGAGACTGAACATCTCAGAATGTCAGTAGAAGACAACACGTGAAAACAGGCAATGAGACTAGAAGGAGAAAGATGGTAATCCAGTCAACAAAATTACTGATGAAAATGTTCCTTAACGCAGTTTTTTTGTTGTTGGCTTGACAACAACAATGAAGACAGATTATTTGAAAATAAGAAATCAGAATCAGAAATCAGGCTACAAATCAGAACAAAATACCTTCTAGAGTGTGAAACAGAAGTTTAGACATCACCAGAATTAGCATTACAGCCATTTAGTGCAAATTAAAAAAGGGTAACAGATTTTGGTAATCTGTAACGCTTGTCTTGTCGAGTTTGGTGACCCTGCTGTATATGTGCAGCTGTTTTGCTTTAGACCAAAGAGTAAGAGTATGAAACAGAGGAGATTAGACACCACTAGAGTAAATTTGGGTAACATTAAAGCCATTCTATGTGAAATAGACGGTTGTAACAGATTTCAGTAACCTGTAACACTTTGTTGTCAGATTTGGTGACACTGCTGTTTATCTGCAGCTGTTCACATTATTCCAAAATGCTTTCTAGAGGATGAAACAGAGGAGATTAGACGTTATGAGAGAGCATTTGGGTAACAATAAAGCTGTTCTGTGCGAATTAGAGAAGGCTAGCAGATTTCTGTAACCTGTAACGCTGGGTTGCCAGTTTTGGTGACCCTGCTGTATATTTTTAGCCATTCACATCAGACCAAAAAGACGGTTGTAACAGATTTCAGTAACCTGTAACACTTTGTTGTCAGATTTGGTGACACTGCTGTTTATCTGCAGCTGTTCACATTATTCCAAAATGCTTTCTAGAGGATGAAACAGAGGAGATTATACATCACCAGAGAGAATTTGTGGAACATTAAAGCCATTTTGTGTGAAATAGAGGGTTGTAACAGAGATTTCAGTAATGTTGTGTAATGTTTTAATGTTGTGCTGTTGGACTTCGTAACCCTGCTGTGCAGCTGTTCACTTTAAACCAAAAAGCTTTCTAGAGTATGAAAAAGAAGAGATTAGACATCACCAGAGTGAATATGGATAACATTACAGCCATTCTGTGTGAAATAGATTAGGGTAACCTATTTCGGTAACCTGTCAGATTGAGTGACCCCTGCTGTATATCTGCAGCTCTTCACATTAGACAAAATGCTTTCTAGGCTATGAAACAGAAGAGATTAGACATCACCAGAGTGAATTTGGTTCACATGAAAGACATTCTGTGTGAAATAGCAGGGGTAGGAGCGGATTTTGTAACCTGTAACGATTTTGTCAGATTTGGTGAACCTGCCGTATATTTTCAGTTGTTCAAACCGAAATGCTTCCTACAGCGTGAAACAGAAGAGATTCAACGACATCAGAGAGAATTTGGATAACATTATTGTGTGTGGAATAGTGCAGGGTAATGAATTTCGGTAATCTGTAATTCTGGATTGTCATATTTAGTGACCATGGTGTATATGTAGCTGTTCACATCTGAGCAATCAGACCAAAGTGCTTTCTAATATACAGAAGAGAGAAATTAAGAAATCACTAGAGTGAATTTGAGGAGCATTACAGACAGTCTGTCCAAAATTTCAAAGTAAATGAACCTGTTGAACCGTTCTCTCAGTGTGGCTGTTTCTCCACAGAACTTCAACAGTACTACAACAGTTGATTATATCAGAAAATATTTTCATCAAAAGACAAAAACCTGCATGCTTGGAATTAAACACCAATTAGACAATTAGAATTCCACCCATACTCCTGATTATACCGGATCAGTGTGTTTCATTGATTGGAGGAATCCATCAATGACCATTCAAATGAGTAATAGGAAAGGACCTCAGAATAGCCCATCAAGGTCTTGAGGGCAAGGGGGAGTTCAGTCATACCCTTCATTGCAGCTCCTGACATGCCATGAGCGGGAAATGAATTAGGAATAGGGACGAGACGCGGTGCGAGTCCATTATGCTACGGGCACACATAAACACCCTGCTTGACCCTTAAATCAGCGAACGGGATGCTGTATGAGAACCCCAACCCTCTATCGATCCAGCCCTCTCATTACAGCCTCGACACACACCATAACGGCTCACACGACTCCATACATCAGCAGCTGAAGCACAATATAATGCTCTCGGTATTCAATCTGGTGAAGAGAAAAGATAAAAGCAAGTTCTAAGCCCAGGCAAAAGGAAGTGAGTATAAGGAACTTCAGCATTTTCTAACTTTCTGACACTCTCAACATTTCCACCGCCCCTCTGACAGTCCCACAATGCCCTGCTGCTAAGCTCCCATAAAGAATTAATTAAAAACGCCCACTCGTCTTCATCCCTGTGGACACACATGGTCAGGTTTGGGGTGGCTGCGGCACTCCAAATAAACACAGCAAGTGAATTAATCTCAATCCTCTGGTCCCGGTGTAAGAAGTTGATGTAAACTTACAAGTAGGTTGGTACAAATAGGAGAAATTATGGAGCCAAATTAATTACTGAACCAACGTACCGTGACAAGATAAACATGGCGCTGTCTGCTTGCTTGAACTGCTACACAGTTGTCACAGACTGCGCACAGCGCTAAACTGTGTTTGTTTATGGGTGCGTTCTGGGTATGTGCGTTTAGGACAGTTTGTTCCTGCTCTTGTCTATCTGCTTATAGTTTCAGCGAGTGTGTGTGTTTGTTTGTAAAAGTGTAAGATGTTTTACCATTACCTCATTTTAGTCATCGAAAACACTGACAACGCATTAGCTGAGTCAGAGTCATCACTCAGTCTCTCGCTTTTATACTCACACTCTTCCTCTCAGGCCATTCACTCAGTCATGATGGGAGAAAATGGTGCTTTCTCATTAGATTCATTGGTTGCAACCCAAGCTCAGGGTTCTGTGTCAAAAAGGTTGAAAAGGTGGTTTCAATTAATCACATTTAACTGCATATCAATATGTGCTATGCCTGCAAATGAAAGACATTAAAACATTAAATCACAGTGGCAGTAATTCAATAATTAAATTAAGACCTCATTTAATAATAAAATAATGATTTAATTTAGATAAAAATAAATTCCTTGATGCAGAATTGCAATTTGAATGTAAGGAAAAATTAAAAGTGAAACTCGTGTAACTTTTTTTGACTAGAAAAAAAATAGAACAGAGTAACAAATATAATGATATAGAGATGGAACAATTTATAGAACAAAAGAAAAGATAGAATGATAGAGAGACAGATACATTGAACTATCCCTTTAAACATACCAAACATGATGACCATTTTGAGCAACCAGATGATTAGCAAGCTGGATTTGGTCTGGGAGCCACCGGTTAAAGGAATCCTGCTCTGCGGGATGATAAAGACAACTTTGAATGAATAAGGCCAGTGTTGGGGGTAACACATTACAAGTAACATGAGTTACTAATAATCAGATTCAAGTAACTAGTAAAGCAATGCATTACTTTTTCCCATTTACTGACTAACAGCTCTCCTGTCCCCATATTGAGAGAAATCTTGAGTAAATGCAGAGGTGTTGTGTGTGTGCTGTGTAAACATGATAGCTACTGTAGTTCTAGACTAAATGTGAACATGCATTTACACATTTCACTTTCACAAAAACAAATTCAATATTCCTCAAAATGTGAAAGGCAAACTCAGAATATGATGCAAAGCTGCAATAATTAAATGTTAAATAACAAATATCCTTTATGTACTTAATCCCATTTTATTAACCAATGACTTTGCTGCTGACCTTCGATGATCTTATTCAACTATAATAATAAGTGAAAATGACTTTGGATGAACATAACATTTGTGTTTCATGTGTTTGTTTATTTGCTGAAGAGTGTTGGACTTTCTTCTCCTGCATCCTATTCTTCATGCAATCCAGAACGGCAGCACAACTGAAAGGTTTGAGCTGCGCCCTCTACTGTACAGATGTGAATTTACATTTCCTTCAGCCTGAGGCTTATTCATTTCACTTTTGGTGTGAAAGGGCTTTTACATTTGCCAAAAATATAACTTTTTTTATATTAAAAACAAACAAGCAAGCCCAGTAACTAATATAATTAGTAACTTTTTTAGGGAGTATTGCAATATTGCAGTGCATTACTTTTAAAAGTAACTTTCCCCAACAAGGCATCAATAAAAGCAGTACTTGAGCGTGCAGGTGAATAGAACTCCACACAAATTAGTTCTTTTTGATACAAATTTATTGCAAATATAGAAATAGATCTTTTGTACAGAAATTGAGAGACAAAGAATGAGAATCAACACCAAAAAGAAGCAATGAAACATGAAAAAAAAACAGAGCAATGAATGTCACATTAAACAATGGACCAGTGTTCAAATGAATCAACTGTATATATGGATCTATGCAGAGGGAATAATGTTTCATACATGGATCCAAAATCAATCTCCCCTTCATCGTAATGAGGTGTGAAAGAGCAAACATAACCTATGACCTCTTGCCCAACATCTTGTCCTCTTGGAGATGGGGTTAATTAAGTAGAGGTGAACTAAGAGGCCAACGATTACATTTTGATGTGGAACCCAATTACTCAAAATCATTGTAACATCTGATTTTTGTTGTTGAATGCCAATCTCAAATTGAATATATTGATGTGATGGAAACAATTACACAACACTCAAAGACTCCCAAGGGTCTAATTGACTTTTGCAACCAGCAGATATGCTATTTCCACCATCCCACATGGGTTGAAGCAAGAATGTGTCCAATCGATTGTGGCTGGTGGAGTTTATTTGTCTGATGGATTGAATTTGGGCCATCATAGTCTTTGAGCAAGTGGTTTTCAGACTTCCAACTCCCAGTTTATACTGTGAATTATACATAAGTTCCTCACAACTAAGTCATCAAGGGATACTTGGAAAGGTTTTCCAGAAAAGTTCAGCTGTCAGAAGAGTTTGTCAATTATTCTTGACAAGGAATCGAATAAGATGACAAATTATCCTTTTTGGATTTGTTTTGACAGTTCAAAGATGCTTTCATAATAGACTCTCTTAAGAAAGCAGTTGAAGACAAGCCTTCTGGGATGTCTGAAGATCAATAACTGGGTGAGACGATTAATCAATGCTGTTAAAACATTAAAGAACAACAAAGACTTTAGCACAATAGGAACCTAGAGGAACTCTACTCAAATGTGCGAGGTAAACTTCACTGTATTCATCTAAAGCTCTTGAATGTGTACCAACATCTCTATATTAACCTCTTACTAAGTTGAGTTAATTAAGTAGTAGACAAACATCAGGTAAAAATTTGAACCAACACTCGACTATGTCGATGAAATGGGTTGGGAATGCCACTGGAGACAACAAACAACCAAGGTGACACCGAAACCAATTTACCATAGGACCCTCATCAAGTTCACCACTATATTTGGATTACATTAAATATGTAAAATAATTAAATAAACAATTAAGTGAACTGCTAAAGCAATTTCTACATTCCTGGGTCAAACACTGAGGGGGTGAGTTGGTATTAATTAATATGTGATTATTTCGCAAACGTTAATAGTTTGTTGTTGGCAGTTTCAACTGTTGACCTCTCTGACCAATGGATGTTCATCTTTTTAAACAGGGATGCATATCAATTAACCCCGCTGGTACTGAATGAAAACATCAGATTAGTTCGAGCTGAGTTGTATGATGAAGGCCAAAGAAAATTAAGGGTACACAGTGACATTTACAACGTTTTGGTGTAAATGGTCACGTTTGACAATGATCTGACCTATTGTTTCATCAAGTAATTGATTCATTTACTGTGGCAGTTGAATCCATTATACATGTAAATGAGTTTAAATGTGATGGCAGTGGAAGCAATGCCTTGAATAAAGTAAGTCAATAAAGCCCGGGGGAAAATAAAACGACAAAACATCACAGAAAAAACTCAGAATTTCCGTTTCATAGTGTTTTTGACGTACATTCACTCAATATACACCACAATGAATTTTAGGCTCATTGAAAATACAGGAAATCATGCAAATATAACATTTTATTTCATTTTCATGTCTTTTTTTCAATCTATAGTTTCAGTCATCTTAATTACAGATCATTGCACGCCCCCGACCATAAAAAAAAAAAAACCCTCCCCAAATACACTCCGGTCCCACCCAAAAAAAATTATATACAGAACAAGCTTGGTAGAAAAACAGTCATAGACTCTTTACAAAATTCACAGATGTTTCGCATTTCCTTCATTTCAATAAGTGACTCCATTCAGGTGACCTAAACATTGCAAATTTGATCAGCGCACATTGACACAAAATAAATGAATGAATTAATAAAAAGACAATATACAAACACATAAATAAATCCTAATATGGTTCATAGCCTAGATGATTATTTTAAAATGCCAGATTCCCACAACGCACTCCTGATCAGCTCTAGGCAACAACTACAAGCAACCATTGGCCTTTATGCAAGTATGGAAATACATCACTGCTTTTTTATTAACTTTCAGTGTTTAAGATAAAATAAGAGATGGAATTTGCAATACCACATAAATCAAATCACAAAGCCAATCAAAAAGGTGAAAATGGGGAAATGCATCATACGGTATCTGTTAACTTAAAGCGCTTTTCAGGCTGGCGCCAACAGATTGCTATGCTGCGCTAACTCCAAGATGATTATCTCCAGCATATTATGTATGCAGAGAGCACAAGATCCCACATGCTGGCTGTAGACTCATTTAGAGACCGCTGGAATTAGACACGTTCCAAATATCACACCCGGCAAGAGGGCAAAAACACGCTGCTACGTAAAATTACCCTCTCTTCGGATGACCGTCAAATGTGAACCGAGGAAACGGAGTTGCCTGATTGCTAGTCACTCACTTACCATATGTGAAACCATGCCACATACAAAATAAACAAACTACACATTTCATAAGCTAGCATGCTAATCCTCACACTATCAGGCAACAAACATCTCTATCTAGAGATCGTTAGCATGATGCTAAGTGCTTTGTTAGCAGCTTTGTTAGTTGGCAATTTCAAACCTCATTAAATGATATTACTGGAAACTGATAGCACCACCACGGCTAGGCTAGCTTACAGTATATAGCGCTAGCTTTTTCTATGCCTGATTCCCCAACCATAAAAGCTTTTGAAATTGGGTCGGAACGATAAAACGGGCACGTTGAAAGCGCCAACTAGGCCAACTAGATCTGGAGATCTGGATTATCCTCTCCATTTGGGAATGCTTTTTCAGCCAAACGCTGAGAGAAAAAGACACAGCTAAAACAAAAGTTAGCAAGGAATAGCCTATATGGTTGGAATTAAACCAGCAGTTGTATTGTTAGCAGTTAATGGAGATGACGGGGATCCTGTAATTTTAGATTTTTTTTTTTATAATGTATTATCAGCTAAAAGGCTCTAAATTGATGAAAACAGACAGGCCATCTATCTCCATTAGAGTAACATTGAGATTATTTCGGTAATTTGGCTATTTGATTTAAGCGAGCTAATGACTCTGATAGTAATCTTAAAAGAGGTTCATGGTGATTCATTGAAGATTTGAGCATGACCATTTTTTAAAAAAGCAAATAGGGTCCATTTTGAATTCATTACTTACAATATGGAGTAGCACTAAACCATCAGCAGGGTTTTAGAATAGTGGACATAAAAGGTCTCATTTAGAGGTCTTATCTACTATGTACTGACAGCAGAAGAGCCGTCCTTGAGTCTGCATTAGCGCATACTCTTATAGCCCTGTCTAAATTCATCAACTCAACTCAAAATAAAAGAAGTTATTAAACAGAACTAAACACAAAAGAGGTCAGAGCAAGGCAAACCAGCAGAAAGGGCAACGCAATTGAAGCACAGCTGCACATGGGTGGTTTATACATCTAATGCATTCAGAATGAAATTTCAACCATTTACATGATAGGTTATTAACATACACTACCATTCAAAGGTTTGGGGTCGCTAGGTCTCTTAAGCTCACCTAGGCTGCATTTATTTGATCAAAAATACAGCAAAATCAGTAATATTGTAAAATAAAATTGTTTTCTATTCCAGTGTATTTTAAAATGTTAATATTGCCTGCAATGGCTGAATTTTTGAGAAGGGTCTGGCTGCAGCCTTGCACTTGCACTCTCAGACTTGTACTCTCAGACACTTGCGCTTCCGCTAGCGACGTCACTTGCAGTCTTTTTTATTTTGTTCTATTTATTGATTACGTTTTGTTTGAGTCTCTCAACATTTTACAACAGTAGCCAGGTGGTGAAGACAAGAAAAAAGAAACTAACTTACAATGTCACTTGCAATCGCCACTTGCACTCTCCGATACCTGCGACGTCACTTGCAGTCGACACAAATCGTGCGTGTTGCCAATGGAGACAAGAAGCTGTGGTG